ATTCTTCAATAGGTAACTCTTATGTCCTTGAACTTTTTCACATTTCGACCATTTCCGCCACAACTCAAAAAAGAAAAAAAACATCGGTAATATCTTAATCGTTTTCTTATAAAAGGAAATAACAATATTGCGTAAACACACTCTTATGATGAGCCTAATTAATTTTCTCCAAATTAATTACGGAATACGTTGAGTGAGGATTGAATTCCTTCAGTCAAGGACACTCTGCATAAGCATGCGGCAAATGCCACAAGCGAGAAAAAAATTTCTTCTGCTAATAAAATGACTAACAACTCAACTTAAAAGATTGATTAGACTTTCACTCACTCTTATTTGTAAAAAAAAAAAAAAGACGTGAAATTGTATAAATTATATACTGACATACATACACACACCCATAGACTTCCTGTTAGCCGCAGTGTAGACGCATTATCCTGGTTAAATAAATTGCTTACAACCTTCGAAATTTGAAGCGCAAAATGCAATTTGAACTTGTAAATGTAAGTAATTTTTCTCAAAAACGAGGGCTGGATATGGAGCTGGGGTCGGGGCTGGGGCTGGGGCTGAGAAAAAAATAAATATTGGAAAAGGATGTCATCATTCAAAGACGATTGCTTTTTCTTGTTTTTAAGCGAATGATTGATTAAGACGATTTCGGCAATAAAAATGTGCTTACTCTGAGCAAAAATCTCTTTGCATTTGAGGTGAATGCCAGCAATCAAAAATGCGAAAAAATTATAAAATTATTCATGCCTTCTTTGAGTTTAATGCAAATTAGAAGAATTTGCTTAAATATTGCTTAAGTATGGGTTAAATATAAGCAAATTGTTTTAAAAACTTGGATTTTTAAGTTTTACAAATTTTTTGAATCGAACGAGATTTTGCTTTACTGTTTCTATGGAATTAAGCGGACACTTGTCAAGCAGTATCTTAGCTACATATAAGAAATAAATGTGGCGATTGAATGGACAAAAATGTATCTCAACGAAGCAGGTTGAATTCCTTAAAAAGTATTGAAAAGATACTTAGCTAAGGCTTTGCATATAAGCTCAGTTTAACATGATTAATGGGTCGCTCCAATACCAAGAATGAAAACTTTGTTTATATGCTACACTCAAAGACCATGGTAGTCTTCTTCAGGTATTCATATATAAATTTCAAAACAGTCAGCGCATAGATAATATCAATAATAAGCGGTATGACTATCCTATTTAAGTGCATGGGATCCAACTTGTTAAATCGATCGACTTGACTATATCCCTCATTTTGAAGGATTACAGCTGTATCAAGGCGGTAAGAAAAGCGACACAAAGATATGAAATCATCCACCGGCCAAAGATGAGCAGTTATACATTGGATTAAATTTCCTCCTCTTCCACGGCAAGGTCATTATGGAGAAGACCAAGTCTCATTACATGTTCTTTTTATACACAATGATCTATTGACATCAATACATTGGTGCATATTGGTATGGTTGGTCTTAGTAGCGACAGAGCTTCCTCTTCTATCCAAGTAACGCTAGGCATTGTTTTGAGACCACTTACCCGATTATGAAGGTTTCAGTTTAAAGATCAACCTACACGAATGATTCATAAAAATGATTATGCTCTAAATATATATGTTTAGGAGGTCCGTCAGGCTTTTAAGGTCGTGAATTTCCATAATGGAAAAAATTAGATTCAGTTAGGTTTGGTCATTTCAGTAGAAACTGTTCAGTTATTTTTCTGCCTTTTTCTGACAGTTTCAATATTTTTGGTTAAATTGGATACCCAATTTTTTAACATGGGTGACCACTATGACCCTCTAATACTGTCATTCTATGACTACTTCTACTTCTATTTTGGTTTTATTCAATAGGATTTTCGTTATTGGTAAATTGTAGCTAAGCCACGTTAGTTTAGATTATTGAGAAAAAAATTTTAATTAATTCAAAGTTGCCAGAAACCTGCCAGTGTAGAAACTATGTTATATAGAAGGTTCTCATTATTCTCCGATACTTTAAAACTACTTCTGATATCAGAAAACTAAATAAACTTGTTTGTAGGCAAATTCCTAATTTGATATGAAATTTCACTATCAAATAAGGATGATAATGCTTAGATTCGATCCAAAAGAACTCAAGAAAGATATTGTATCTTAAAATGATGCAATATTTATAATTATAAGTTAATCGATATATCACTTAGGCTTTAATTAAAACAAAGTGTAAAATACTTTAAACATCATGAAATAAATATAGTATATTCTTTTCTTATCAGTATAAGTAAACCGAGAGAACAAATAGTTACAAATTATTTGCTCTACCTTCTTCCATTTCCTTGATATAAATAAAAAAAAAAAATAGTTGCTTTAATTTTGTAATTAATTTTCTTTAAATTTATTTAACCAATTCCAGGCACCAATTTGTTATATTTCGATTTTAATATCGATTTTATAGATCAATAATTATCTAGCCTTATTGGTGAATTATTTACTGGTCTAATAAGCATCTTTACTTTTTGAAGTGGTGGAAGGCCTGGCCATACAATCTCTTCATATGGACAATTGAAATCGCTGAAAAAGAAAACATTTTATATATCTGCAATAAGTAAAATCGAACTGAAATACTTCTGGAAACAATTATTAGCCCAGCCAGCTGTCTCATGGTATAGAGCGCAATGTGTGGGATATAGATCGTTGTCCTCATCATAAGTCGAGAACTTTTGATTTATATGGTAGGAGAATTGATCCGTAACATTACCCCTGAATGAGCCCAACAAATTAAGCCTATATTTATCTACTTCATTCCCTATACCAAAAGAATCATATCTGGCGATATAGCTTATGTCATAGATATCTACCATAACTATGAGCAGCTCCTGAATTTGATTGGAAGTTAAAGCATATAAGTTATCTAAACCAATAAAGTAATTCGTGAATATGTTGCCAAAGCCTTCTTTGTATGTTTCCCAATCTCGGAAGAAATTAATTGAGTCATCGATACGTCTGTGAATAGTTAACCAGTCATTAACGCCTTCGAATTCATCGCAGTAAACAAGGAGCGGAGTTTTCAAATTGGGCAATTGAATTTCATAAACGCCACTGGATTTCGTTATTTGGGTTGCTTCAGCGCAAGTTTTCGGTAAGGATTTAGGATACCTGAGAGAAAATTATGATTAAAAACTTTTTTTTTTTGAATCTTTGAATGTAGCACTTACGGAAAGTACAAACTGTCAACAGTTTCCACTAGATAACCTAGTTTGGATAAAAACATGAAAATTTAATTGTTTTATTATTGCGAGGTCTTATTTAATGACTTCGCTGCGTTTTTATAATATAATTGAAATCTGAAATGTTCCAGAAGTACAAAGTTGTAGAAATAAAAGCAATCATAAAGAGCACTAAATTATTTGCAAGTCGGGTTAAATACTTTAAGTCTTCAGAGCAAGTTCTTAAGTCGGAATTGATAAACCCCTACGTCAGATGTGTATAACCAAAAGAAAAAGTCTTTGAGTCGGACCTATCAAATCTATTAGAGTTCTCTCAAGTAATATCATCTATGTAAAACTAAAAGAGATTCCGTGGAGAGCTTTTATATATTATACGCCTTCCCGACTGTTTTCTCTGGTCTACTCAGCGGTTGAATGTGGTGCGCCTGTATGACTTAACAGTTCTCACGTCAAACATATTAAAGCTCGACTTGACGATGAAAATACTCTGAGAGAATCTGAAGGTCGCTTCTTTAGAAGGTCAGTTTACATATTTATAATTTTATAATATATAAGATATATACATATATATATAAATTATTATATAAGTATATAATAACTATTTAACTCTTAATTTCTTTTTCTAGCGAATCGATATTTGATTTCGAAAGTCCTTTACTATGGATAAGAACAAATCTAAATTAAAAGACTGTTAAAAATTAATATTAATAATTAATAATTAATGAACTAACAAACAGTAATTATTGTAGAAACATTTTTTTATAACATATCTTACATTAATTCTCAAAACCTCACCTGGTTTTTGCACCTTAGTATCGACTCTAAAATATCACAGAAGTTTAGTATACAAAAATTAATTTCATTAAATTTTGATTCATTCTTACCGATTCTTATCGTCTAGAAAATTTTGTAGTTCTCTGAATTTTCTATCCAAATATTCCGTTGTTGCCTATCAAAATTTAGAAGTGTTAAATCCAATCAATTTATAAATGGAAGTAGGAATATTCTTACCACTGTTACCGATTCAGGCTTCGCATATCGAACGAAGCACACCAAAAAAAATAATTCCAATAAATATATTTTCATTTTCTGTAAAATTATAATAAGAACTAATTTTTAAGATATATAATATAAAAGAAAAATATTTCTTATATTATTTTAAAAAAATATAATAAATTATACATTCAGTTATATACTTTCCAAAATACTAATTAAGTGATTATACTTTATATTCCTTCCGAAATCCGTTAGAACCGTTCTGGGTTTAAAATTGAACTGTTTCTTTTTCTAAATTCTCTTCAAAGATAATTTCGAACCCTGAAAAATATATATTAATTATCTCAATATGCTTATATAAATTAATACCTTAATTAGTTTCGTGTGATAATTGTGCAATTTTAAAAAATTTCAATAGAAGTGAAAAGTTCTGTTTTGAAAAATTTAATTATAAATATTTATTGTGAAATCAATTATATATAATACCGAACTAAAAATCAATTAAATAATGAGATTGTTGCGAAATAACGACTTCCTGTGACAAATTGGAAAACAGTCCAGATATACAAATCTTTTTAAAAAACTAATAATTTCTTATATAATTTTTAATGACAAAATTTAAACACTTTAATTGTAATTTTTTATGATAATTACATCTCATTAAAGAAGAAGATTGGAAAAAAAATAACAGAATAATATTTGGTGGTCTAAGATTATTCTCACATTGCTCAAAGCATGTGTCAGTATTCATATATGATGTTTTAAATCATATAATTACCTTCCTTTAATAAAACAATTAAGTGATATGTTATAAATTTTACCCTCTATATATTACACTATCCTCTAAAATTGATTTCATTTCAATTGCGAAGTAAACCTCTTCACTAGTCTCATACAAGCAGTCAGTACTTCCTCTTCCAATTCACTTATTGGAAAAGCTTTAACAGATACAGTGTGAGTTTTGTAATATCACTTCTTAGGAATATTGTGAGAATAGATCTTACTCACCGATATTAAAAGGTCAATGACTGAAACCTCATTCCAATAATCAGGGAATAAAGAATTAGAGAAGCTAAACATATAAATAAGACAATTTATCTACCACAGATTGAGCTCGGTTTTGCACGTCAGTTAATAGTTGAATATAATTCAAAAGAAATGGAATAAAGAAATGCATGGATGAATGGAAGATAGAATGGAAGTCTTTTTTACAAAAATAATTCGCAGATGGTTTGTTCAAATCAGTGATTGTACAGGACAGTATTAACAAAAACATCCAATACTAAAATATCTAAAATATATAAAAATATAACACATCAGCTAAAACCTTCACAGCTGAACCAAAAATATTTACTACAAGACTTTCTTAGGAGCACCGCAGAACTATAAAAAAAAAATACATTTAATTTTTTCTTCAATTTGTGCAGAAGATTTTCTGTGAAATACTTTCAATATTAAAAAAATTTAAAGGTGCTGATAAAATATAAAAACCAATTAATGTTAAATAAAAACATTTTTTTAAAATTGCTTCCAAAAGCTTATGTTAACAGAAATATTTTAACAGAATAAAATGCATGTACAGCACTGGAGTGCTAACCAACAATAGATGGCGCACTTTCCTAATAAATGAGAAAAATGACCTAAATCTAAAATATTATACAATTTATTTTTATTTTATCTAAAATTAATCATTTTCAACAAAAAAAAAATTCATGAATTTGTGCTTATATACAAATATCTTGAATAAAATATTGTGTGTGAAAAATATATTCACAAAACATAAAAAAATCGAATAATTTTTAATTGCATACTTTTAGGGTGCAGATTTGTAATCGTTAAATAGAAAGTAACGATTTTTTAAATCAAATTTATTTTTAATATTTAACACTGAAATATTAGTAATAAATATCTAAAATATACGTGTTAAATTTTAGAAACTACTTATGATTTTTTTAACACCCAATGTACACAAAATGTATGATCATGTTTGAATGTAAGTAAATGTCAAGATCACTAAAAATAAAGTCAACTAAACTTTTAATAAAATTTGATTTTCTCAAAATTAATTTAAATCAATTTTGACTCGAATGTCAATGACACAAGAACTACCATGAATATATTTCATTATTTATTCAACTTAAAATATTTTCTAAAATATATGAATAGTGTGTTCGTTTGTTCGATATTTTATTACTCATACATAAAAGCGTAGGAATAGGAATAAACGGGGTACCTGCTCTCGAAGGAGCGAAGCACTGCGACCATGGTTGATATTTTGTGCTGCAACAGATCCTAACCGAACAAAAAACATTCCACCTTCCGATGGACAGCCAAAATGTTGGCCGTTGAGGACCTCCTAATGTCAGAAAGGTAGAACAGCTCCCGATCCAGTGACCTCCTCTTGGCCTAGATCAAGGCTGGGCAGTTACAGAGAATGTGACTGAAAGTCGTGTCTGCTTCTAAACAGAGTCAACAATCCATCTCTTTAGGCAAACCCATTTTGCTAAGGTAATAAAGCAGTTCATGGTGACCCGTTAAATATCCCACTACCAACCTCAATTCTGTTCTGCTGAAGAAGGATACCTTACCATAACTGTAGAGATGAAACAGCTTTTTAGCCTGACGATTATATGGAATGTCGTGCCAGTAGTGACTTCTTTAGGCTGAAAACTATTTATCAATCAGAGACCTAGTTATAGACCAACTTAATCCACAATATGACTCCGGTCCATAGATTTGAATGGCGGATCCTGACCTCGCAAGACTTTCAGGAGGACAGAAGGGCAGACATAAAAGCGTAAAACTTTACTTAAAAAGTCTGAGAACATTATCTGATTTAATAAACTTAACTCATGTCCTTATTCATTTTAATTATTTATTTTAATCATTTTTATTTTTTGATTTAAATTCGAAATACACAGATACATTTTTATTAACATTTTCCATAAATATATTTTCAATTTTTTTAAATTTCTTGAAAGCATGCTTATAAGGATTGTTTTGGGGTTTGCACACAGACTCAGCATTGCAAGGCTTTATTTAAATTTTAAATATTATTTAAACATATGTAAATATTTTTTTTTCTATTTACTTATATCTATAAATACTTTTATAAAAAATTGTAAACTTTTTAAAAAATCAAATTGGCTTGTTGTATTTTTTTTAATGTACTCGTAATATAAATAACTAGAAGTAAATAAAAAACTATAAAAATAAATATTAATCATTATACGTTTATATATGTATGTATTGATTTACCAAAAATTAAATTTTTAATTTATTTTTAATATTTAATTTTAAAAATATGTATAAGATATTTAAGAAATTGTTTTGGAAATTTGAAATATTTTAATAGTTTATAAAACATAAGAATTCACACAATATTATTGTTTTATATACTTCAGGTGGTTCGATTTAAATTTTTTTCAAGTATTTGTTTTATAATAATTAAAAAAAAAATAAATTAATTTTGACTATACTACAGGGACAAATAGACAATAGACCTGGAATCTTAAAACCCCACCTCTACTCTAACCTCAATTGACAAGAGTGAACTAACAGTAACACTAAGAACATGATCTAGCTTCTTAACAAAATAGAAAAATTATAAGTTTTATAAGGAGGACAAAAGACAGATCTGTTCCATCTTTTAACAAAAAAAGAAAGCCTGTAAGCCTTACAAGGAGGACTAAAGACGGAACTATATTCGCAGTAAACCATATTTTTTCGATGTACATTAAGACCGAAAAGTTTTCGGAAATTCTCATTTAAAATTCGCGCGCTGTATATTTTTCGATATTTTAAGTTTATGTAGTTTGGCAGCAATTAACTTAATTACTATGCCAAAAATGAGCGCGATCTGTCAGACAGTTCGTTTACGGCAGCTGTTGAAACCAGTTCACCTCAGTAGGGCGTTGCGAAAAAAACAATGGAAAAAAATATTGAACAAAGAGTTTGCATCAAATTTTGTGTTTCGAACGAAATTTCGTGTGCAGAATCGTTGCGAATGCTACAAAAGGCTTATGGGGAATCAGTTTTATCGAAAACTCAAGTTTATGAGTGGTACAAAGCCTTCCAGGACGGTCGTACGACCGTCGAAGACATTTCGCAACGCACTACTGAGGTGAACTGGTTTCAACAGCTGCCGTAAACGAACTGTCTGACAGATCGAGCTCATTTTTGGCATAGTAATTAAGGACAGTGCTGCCAAACTACATAAACTTAAAATATCGAAAAATATACAGCGCGCGAATTTTAAATGAGAATTTCCGAAAACTTTTCAGTCTTAATCCTTTCTGGAATCTGGAATTATCTAATTTTGTGTTTTTATTTAAAGTAATTTCAACAAATTAAAATGGAGTATAAAAGGTAACAAATTATTATAATATACAGTATAATGTTTAATAGTAATGATTTAAAGTAGTGACGTGGAGTCACTTCTAAATCATCATCTGAAGAGATAGTAGCACAGATTAAGATCTTTAGGTAGGTAAGTTTCAGGTGAGATGTCTCTATATATCTTTAAATCATGGGATACATAATATCAGACGTATTCATATGCTCTTAGGTTAATACTCTTCTCTTGTCTCCAAAGCAAAGTGAACCAGTCACAAAAAGTCAACAGAAATTACATCATCTATAGAGAAGTGACAAGGGTCACTTGTGGATCATCATCTGAAGAGATAGTAGCACAGATTAAGATCTTTAGCTAGGTAAGTTTCAGGTGAGATGTCTCTATATATTTCTATATCATGGGATACATGATATCAGAAGTATTCATTTGCTCTTGGGTTAATACTCCTCTCCTGTCAACAAAGCAAAGTGAACCAGTCCCAAAAAGCCAATGGAGTCACTACTGGATTGATTCTTTTCTGAATTGATGCTTTTCTTTCTTGATGCCTTTCTTACAAGAAAACAAACAAGAACCTTTTCGTTTCTATGGAAGAATCTTTTTGTTTCTTTAGAAGATTTTTTATATATGTAGATATTTATATATAATCAAATGGAAATTAATTTGTTTTAATTAAGAAGATTTCTTATTTTGCTTCTACTATTAGAAAGAAAAGAAAAACATTTATTTAAACAAAAAATTATCAGGTCGTTGAAATGGTCCTTAAATTATAATTCTTCTCTTCTAATTCTCTTAGTACTCTTAATATCGGAAGATAAAGATGGGGTAAAGGAGAAGATTGAGTAGTACATCTAACCTGAAAATGATGTTTAATGAAACTTTTTACTTATTAAATACTTTTTTAAGCAAATATATAAAAAGTAATAGTTTTAAAA